GTTTTTCGGGTCGACCTCTCCCAACCCCTTGTGCGAGCTGGTCGAAGTCGAGCACAGATTTCAACAGCTTCATAGTTGTTGAAACCAAGTTTTTTGGGTCGACCTCTCCCAACCCCTTGTGCGAGCTGGTCGAAGTCGAGCACAGATTTCAACAGCTTCATAGTTGTTGAAACCAAGTTTTTCGAGTCGACCTCTCCCAGCCCCTTTGTGCGAGCTGGTCGAAGTCGAGCACAGATTTCAACAGCTTCATAGCTGTTGAAACCAAGTTTTTCGCCACTGTTGGTAGCCTTATTTAGTGGGTTGCGTGGTTAATTCCTATTTATGCTGTAGTTGGGGTACAACTTCGGTTGTTTAGGTCGACTTCGTAGTCGTAGGCTTCGTAGCCTTGCCGAGATTCCACTCGAGGCATACAACTTCGTAGTTGTTTGGATCGACTTCGTAGTCGTGGGCTTCGTAGCCCTGCCGAGATTCTACTCGAGGCATACAACTTCGTAGTTGTTTGGGTCGACTTCGTAGTCGTAGGCTTCGTAGCCTTGCTGAGATTCTACTCGAGGCATACAACTCCGTAGTTGTTTGGGCCGACTTCGTAGTCGTAGGCTTCGTAGCCTTGCCGAGATTCTACTCGAGGCATACAACTTCGTAGTTGTTTGGGTCGACTTCGTAGTCAACATCTGGTCGGCTATATAGCTGTTTCGAAAAAATCAGTTCATTCAACAATCATAGAAAAGTCGATGCGTAAATATAGAGACATATTAGAAGCGTAGACAAAATTTATTTCATTACTGGATAAAATTTTATCGTTGCCCAGTACAAAAGGAAAACTCAAAACATTGTTTAAGCATAAAAATGTTTGAGATGGATCACATGCCAAGATCGCGGTAGTTGTCGACCCTCTGCATCTTCGAGTTCATACGCACCTCTCTCAAGCACTTTTGTGACTGTGTATGGCCCTTCCCAGTTAGCTTCTAGTTTTCCGACATGCTTGAGAGCGTCGGCCCACTTTAAGACGAGGTCTCCTACTTGAAACCGCCTGGTTCGGACTTTCTTGTCGAAGGCTGCACGCATCTTCTTCTTATACTCCACAGATCGCAACCAAGCTTTCTCTCGTACTTCCTCTATCATGTCGAGGGCTTCTTTTGCTAAATCTTCATTGTTCTTCTCCTCATAGAATGTCGACCTATGAGATTCCAAGCCTACTTCGATGGGCAATAGAGCGTCCATTCCATAAACCATGTGGAATGGTGATTGTCCTGTTGAACTCCTTGGAGTCGTCCTATAAGCCCATAAGACCATTGTCAGCTCGTCGACCCAGGGACCAGATGCTTTTTCCAGCCTCTTCTTCAGTCCCTGCAAGATGGTTCTGTTTGTCACCTCGACTTGGCCATTTGCCTGTGGGTGCGCAACTGAGGCAAATCGCTGTTTGATACCCATGTCGACACACCACGCCTGGATCCGCTTTCCTTGGAACTGTGTTCCATTATCCGAAATCAAGACCTTTGGGATCCCGAATCGACAGCAAATATTGTTGAACAGGAATTGTATCATTTTGTCTTCGGTAATTTTTGCCAAAGGCTCTGCCTCCACCCATTTACTGAAGTAGTCGATGGCGACCACCATGAATTTCCTTTGCCCTGTTCCCATCGGCAATGGACCTACTAAATCGATTCCCCATTGAGCAAAGGGGATTGGACATTTGATTGTTGTCATTGCCTCGGCTGGAATGTGGGGGATTCGACCATGGCGTTGGCATTTGTCGCAAACTTGCACCAACCGCTCGGCTGCTTTTCGGATCTTGGGCCAATAATAGCCTGCTCGAAGGGCTTTTCCAGCCAGGGCTCGCGATCCCATATGCGCTCCGCAGTACCCCTCATGGATCTCTCTAAAGACATGACCCCCTTCTTCCTCGGAAACGCATCGCAGGTGGGGTCCGACCATCGACTTCTTATATAAGACCCCTTCGATCTCAAAATATTTACTCAGATATCGGGCTACTTTTTCCGCCTCCTGCTTATCTCCTTCTGGTACTCGACCTTGTAACAGTTCACGAATTGCTCTTCGCCAATCCTGCTTTTCGTCGACTTCCATTGTCTCATTTAAGACACTTCCCTCCAAGTGCAGTGTGGTGATATGATTTCCCATCTTTCCTTCGTTCGAACTTGCGATCCTAGCGAGCCAATCGGCTCGCTTATTCTCCTCTCGAGGTACTTGTGTTAACTCTAACCTTTCTAGGCCTTGCACTAGGTTCTGGATTTCCTCGACATATTTTATCATCCGGCCCTCTTTGATTTCGCAATTTCCCAGTACTTGCCCCACAACGAGCTGTGAGTCGGAGTGCGCCATGATTTCCGTTGCCCCACCACCGACTGCCAATTGGATTCCCTTAATTAGAGCTTCATACTCTGCTTCGTTATTCGAGGCCTTGAACCCCATTCTGATGGCGAAGTCGAGTTGTTCGCCTCCGGGGGATACTAGGATGATTCCCAGACCATACCCCTTGGCCGCCGAGGACCCGTCAACGTGCATTATCCATTTCTTGCTAGCTCCCTTAGTCCCTTCTTGGATGAAGTCGGCCAGGGCTTGGGCTTTTATGGCTCGTCGCGGTTCGTATTTAATAGAATATTCACTGAGCTCGACTGCCCACTTTACGAGTCGACCCGACACAGTAGGTCGACCCAAGGTTTCTTCAAGCTGAAAGTTCGTACTCACGATTATCACATGGTTCAGGAAATATGGCCTCAATTTTCTGGCTGTGATTACTAACGTTAAGGCGGCCTTCTCGACTTCGGAATATCTTGCCTCTGCGCCTTGAAGTACTCGACTTGTATAGTAAATCGACTGCTGGGCTCCTTCAGCTTCTCGCAGTAATACAGAACTTAGGGAAAATATTCCCACCGAAATATAGAGAACTAGTTCATCGCCTGGCTCTGGCTTTGTTAACAACGGCAGCTCGCTCAAAAACTCCTTCAACTTTTCAAATGCCATTTGAGCCTCGTCATTCCACTGAAAAGCTTTTTTCTTAAGTAACTTGAAGAATGGGAAACTCCTTTCCGCAGCTCGAGTTATGAACCGGCTCAGGCCTGCAATTCGACCCGTTAGGACCTGCACTTCTCTAACATTTTTTGGCTGGGCCATGTCGAGTATGGCTTGCACCTTGTCCTTATTTACTTCAATGCCTTTTTCAGTCACGATATAGCCCAGGAATCGCCCTGCCCTCACTCCGAAAGCGCATTTGCTCGGGTTCAGCTTCATCCCATAAGCCCTTAGTGTCTTGAAAGCTTCTTTCAGATCTTCTACATGTGAGGCCGAGGACCTACTTTTTACCAAGATATCGTCCACATATACCTCCATATTGCGTCCGATCTGCGACTTTAACATTCGATCCATCAACCTCTGGTACGTTGCTCCTGCATTTTTAAGCCCAAAGGGCATGACGACATAACAGTACGTCCCTTTACTTGTAATAAAGCTAACTTTGCTCTGGTCTTCGGGGGCCAATGGGATTTCGTGGTACCCCTGGGATGCATCCATCATGCTTAGCAACTCGCAACCAGCTGTAGAATCGACTAGCTGATCAATCCTTGGCAGAGGGTAATGGTCCTTGGGACATGCCAAGTTTAGGTCGCGGAAGGCGATACACATACGCCATTTGCTCAATGCTTTTCTCACCATTACAGTGTTGGATATCCATTCGGGGAATTGGATCTCTTTGATGTGCTTGGCTTTTAACAACTTATCCACCTCGACCTCGATTGCTTTGTCTATCTCAGCCCCATGGTGTCTGAGTCGCTGCTTGACAGGCTTTTTGAGGGGGTCGACATTGAGCTTATGTTCCATGACTTCCGGATCGATTCCTGTTAATTCCTCTGGAGAGAAAGCAAAGATGTCTCTAAATTCCCTCAGTAATTCCACCAACTGCCCCCTCAATTCGTCTTCCAATTCTTTCCCGACTTTAGTGGTTTGGTCCTCTCTTTCTCCGATCTGAATTTCCATCAGCTCTCCGTGTGGTTCGAGATCGCTTCCCCTCGGCCTTTTTTCATTCGATCCCAACTTCTTTCCTTCTTTTGGCTCCGTTCGTTGGTTCGTCCTTACCGCTACCTGGTAACACGCTCTGGATAGTTTTTGATCTCCTCGAGCTTCTCCCACTCGATCTCCGACTGGAAATTTTAACTTCATATGGTAAGTCGATACCACAGCTTGGAAAGTGTTCAATGCTGGTCTCCCGAGGATCACGTTATAAGCCGATTCGACATCGACCACCACAAACCTTATCATCTTCACCTTTCTCAAGTCTCCTTCTCCTAAGACGACAGCAAGCGTGGTTTCTCCCAACGGTGCAACCTCCGAGCCATTTAACCCAAAAAGAGACGTGTGCAAGGGTGTCAGTTCGATGTCAAGGTCCATCCTTTTGAGACAATCGTAAAAGATCACATTTACTTAGCTTCCAGTGTCGACAAAAACCCTTTGCACCTCATAGCCCGACACCTGGGCGGTTATCATTAGAGCATCATTGTGAGGCCTCTCGACCTCTCCTACATCCGCTGGTCCAAAATTCATCACCGGACCCCCTTCATCGACTTGGTGTATCTCGACTTTGGCATGCTTCCCTCGGGAGTATGCTTTTCTTGCTCGGTTTGAATCTCCGTCAGTCGGCCCACCAATGGTCATGCGAATTATCCCTTTTTTGAGGGGGAGCTCGTCCTTTTCTGGTGACCTTGTCCTCTTACGAGGACTCTTACTCATTTCTTTCCTTCGGCTTGTCCTTTCTCGATCTTTGTATATGAATTCTTTCAAATGGTCGGCCTTTATTAACCTTTCTATCTCGTCCTTGAGGTGTCTGCAATCGTCGGTGTTGTGTCCGTAGTCCTTGTGGAATTGACAATATAGGTTGCTCTTAGGCCTCGTTGGTCCATCATTCCTTGTCTTAGGCCATCTTACCACATGGTCGCGAATCTCCTTCTCCTTTACTTCCAAGATCCTAGCTTGTGGAGCCATCAGGGGGGTGTAATGAGTCGGCCTCCAACCTCTGGGCCGTCCTTCCCTTTCTGCTCGCGGGGACCCCTTTCTCTCCCCAGTCGAGGAAACTCTCTTTTATTTTCTTTCGTCATGAGGGTCTATTTTGATCGTTTTAGATGCCTACGAGAAGTCAGCCTCTGCTTCCTCGACGTTCATATATTTTGCACACCTTCCAAGCACCTCATCAAACGTCCTGCCTGGGCGCTTGGCCAAAGAGTTCCTACACAGACCTGGCAGTAGCCCTCGGGTCAAGCCCCCCGCCTTTATCTCCTCTGACGCTCTGGGCACCTCGACGCAGGCCCGGGTGTATATCACCATATAGTCTCGTAACGACTCGCCTTCTTTCTGTTGTATGCCCATCAATGTTAAATACGACTTCTCATGTGGCCTGACACTAGCAAATTGATTGAGGAAACTCGAGCTGAACCCCTCGAAATCCTTGATAGCCCCTGCTGGTAACTGGTGGAACCAATCCTGAGCGGAACCTCGTAAAGTTGCCAGGAAAGCTCGACATTGCACTGGATTGTTGTAGCGATGGAGCACCGCCATATTCTCGAAACTCCTCATATGCCAAGAAGGGTCGGTCGACCCGTCGTAGCTTATGTTCAAATCGCGAAAGCCTTGTGGTAGATCAGCGTCGAAAATATGCTGTGAAAACGGGTGTCCTCTCGAGCCACCGGTTTTTCTTCCCTCGACTCGGGCTTGCAAATCACGCACTTGGGCCAGCAATTGCTCCAGTGTTTCATCTCTCGCTTATGGGTTAACAGTCCTGATAGAGGAAGCCTCCTCTTCTGCCCTCCTATTCTTCCTCTCGTTGGACTGGGCCTGTTGCTCTCGTTCGATGTTTGGCTGTTCGATCCTTAGTGGCTCGACCCTAGGTTGTTCGGGCTGAACTTGCTTGAGCTGAGCCGCCACTGCTTCCGCTATCATCCTTTGCATCTCATCTCTCGTCATTGTTACGGTTTGCTCCTCGACCCGGGATGGGACGAGCGTTTGTTCTGGCCCTTCCTGGATTTGCTTTCCCGCGCGTCGAGACATCTTTGTTGGCTCTCCTCCGCCCGTATTGGGGTTTTGGCTTGCTCCTGCTGAGGTCAGCACCGGCACCTTCACTCCGGGCGGAGTAATAGGCGTTTCTCCACCCAGAATCACTCCCGGGGGTTGGGGTCCTCCGAACGGTGGTATTCCCAGTGCCTGCATCGTCGGGGGTCTGGGGGCAGAGAGAGGGGGCGGTCTCCTTTCTGTCCAGGTTCCCCTAAATTTCTCGTTCAAATTCCTCTGTAAACCTTCCTTCTCAGCCATCGGCGACGGATCGGAGCTAGGTGCGAAGCTCTTAGTTCCTTCAAGAACTCCCCACAGACGGCGCCAAAATGATGGGTCTCTTTCCAGATCCGGGGCGATCTGATGAGAATGGGCTCAGATCTAGAGCGAACCGATGAGGGTGAACTCAGATCTGACTCGACGACTTCTAAACTGCTACCGGACCGCGGGGATACCTGCAAGAACTCAACGCCGGAGGGGTTTCCGGCGTAGAGCCTCCGACGATCAAGTCAGTATGTGAACAGAATGAGGAACTGCTCTGAGGAAGCAGCAGCAATGGAGGAGAATATGGAGTGAATGGGAGTTAGGGTTTTAGGGCTACCTTTTCTCCCTTTTATAGGAGGGAAATTACCTGATGTACCCGAAATGCCCTAGATCGGTGGTCCTGAGAGGTCCAAATTGCCCTGGCCGATTCGTCTTTTCCTCTTGCTGAGTCACCTTCTAGATCCTTCTTATCCCCTTTAAGTACCAGCAGGTTCATGAGGAACATTATGTGGGGTCATCGTCATGTGTAGTAGGTCGACATGTGAGGAGTCGACCTCGAACAAGGATAATTCCCTCTAGATTCTGATTGTAGTTAGAGCATACTGATCTTATCGCGGTCGGCTTCGCCAGGTCGACTTGAGTATAGTCGACCTCGGAGTACCTGTATGGAGTGTTATTAGTTCTTGGTTTGTTGTAGGTCGACTTCGCAAAGATTATTCTGAACACCTTAATGAGCCGACGTCGAGGTATTTTTCAGTTCCTAGTTTTAGGGTTAAGGCCCTCGAGCCATCCTGCATTATGGCTATATCATTAGTCTTTTGTTATTTTTCCTAGAGTAAAAAAAAATATATTTTTTTAGTTGGGTTCGAATTTTGTTAATTCGAAAGAGTCAGAAAAAAAAAATATGTCTTACCCACCATTGGATGAGTTGGATTGGGAAGATCTTGAGATGTTGGAAGGTTTGCAAAGAGAGCTCACACCATGGGAAAAAACATATCTCGATGAGCTTTATGAGCGGAGGAATCTAGAAGAGTACGAGCGTCAACTCGTACAAGCCCGAGAAGCAATGGTGATCGATGCCCAAGGAAACAATGAAGATGATGGTGCGCTAAATTTTCTAATCCTTGAGGACAAGGAAAGTCTTGAAGAGGAGGGGAATGATACGGAAGTCGTTATTAACCCCGGTGAGTCAAGTGTTAGGATGGTTGAAGATCTCGATTTATGGTTGGACAATATGCTAGAGGAGCCATCTAGTCCGATTTACTGGCCTTCATG